CAGCGCTAACCACTGCCACCCCTGTTTACATGCCATGTACTTCCTGTTTTTAGGCCCACAGTGTTAGGTTACCCCAAAGACACACCTCCGCCCCTATTTAAAACTAAATATACTTTGGTACAATTAATCAAAACCAGATAAACCGCTCATTTATATAGTATTTTATTTTGTAAGAAGAATGTGAACTCATACATTTTTAAAGAGATGTTTTTATTCATTAGACTGTATACTTTATAGGAAAATGTTTATTGTTTGTAGCCTTTTTCACAGATAGTTCTCGACTTAGGGCTGTAATATCTACAGCAGCGATAGTGAGATGTTGTTTGTATTTTGATCCTCTGAAAGACAAGGTAACAGTAGTAGAATCAGTTTTTAGCTATAATTCTAAACATGTCTTCATGGCTGCATTGAAACATGGCCATATATCAGATTCAATTGGTACTTTTTCAGATTAGCAGCGGCAAGTGCTGAGGCAGCTCCTGGGAGAAGACGGCAAGATTAGCGATACATTTCCTGTCTCGAGGCAAAAGGTCACATCATTGTGGCTTTTAAAGGTGTTAGCGTGATCACATTTGCATGGTTGCAGTGTTATTCAGACTAATCTGCTCTGGCCACTTGATCTCATATCAGTGTGGTCAGCCATAGACAAATAAAACCAGCACTTTTTTACCAGTGTTAAACCCAAAGCCATAGCCAGCCAGGCACTGCATGGCAAAATGCACAAAGAGAGGGTTTTCCTGTCTCTGTTTTTTTATTCTTTGGTTTATCACCTGCTCAAAAATCCTCTTGAGACAATAAGAAATTTCAACTCTATTCTCAAATGACATTGTTTTAAAATGTAAAATCTACAGTACATGGCATTGTCATGTAATGTCGTTAACATACACACAGAGAAACACAGACATATGGATTGAGGTGAGGCTCTTCTGTTTCTTTTGGGAATGCTCTTTGATGACAGTACATGGTTCAAATCAGCGAGGACAATCTACATCTGAAATTCTCAGCTGTGCTATTTGCATTTCTCAAGTTTAAATTTGGCTTTTTCCTAGTCATGCCTGAATATCCTGGACAATACTCACATGCTAAAACTTTGAAATGCGATATGCATACTCAGACTCATCTTTTTATATCCCACTGCTCTTTTCTGGATCACTTCTTTGATTCATGAACTAGTGCATGAAGACACAACAACACCTCTCAATGTGACTGATCTGAACTATAAATCTGTCTTACCACAGGTAATCAGTGTTGCAGACCACAGCCCAGCTGCCTTTAAAACAGAATGAAAACCATGTGATACCAGACACCAGGCCATCTGTTCAATGGCAATAGTTGTTAGGCAATAGTACTTTAAGTTTAGGCCAGCTCAAAGGTTGCCAAGGACACTACCAACTGGAACTATTTGCTCCTAAGCTATTTTCAAAAACGTGACAATTGATCAGATTGACTTTGGAGATGAACTTGAGGTGGGGACTGGCTGGGTGGGGACTTGTGTACCTTCTGTCTTCTACAAACATTTTTCTGCAACATGAGACTCTTGACCAAATAAAAAAAACTGAAAAGCACAAAGAAAAGCTGAGAAGTGCAAAGGAACAGCCCAAAATAAGGAAGGTAAAACAAAAGAGAGGCGACACAGACCAGTTTTAGATGCAAATCACATTTCAAAATGTAGCTCATTGTCATATTTACCAATGCAAAGCAGTTTTGCATTGCAATTGGTGTTAGCTGATGTGCAGTTTTTATTAATAGGCATATTTGATTCCATAAGTGAGCGCATGCACCTTGTCCAAAGTCCTGTCCTGGTGCAAGAGGGTCATGGTTTTGTTCACTTATCTGAACAAAACCCAGATGATTTTTCAATGTATAATGGACGTGCTTGTTAGGCAATAGTCCTTTAAGTTTAGGCCAGCTCAAAGGTTGCCAAGGACCCTACCAACTGGAGCAATTTGATTTGATTTGATTTGATTTGATGTATTCTTTCAAGCATATAAAACAGTTGATATAACAACACACATTTTTACACACAATCCAAAATCAATTTGCTTATACCTAGTACATGCTTGAATGGAGTAGGAAGAAGTCAGACTTATCCAGTCCTACCCCATGACATCATCTTACATCATTGGTTTGCAAGCAATAAATGATTCACTTCTACACACACACATATTATACTAAAAAAGAATATAACAGTGTTAACATTCTTACATCACAATTTGCTTCTAAGCTAGTTTTAAAAGTTTGCCATTGACATCCAGCACAATTCTTATATTGTTAAAAGGAAACCTCTGTGCACACTCTACTAAACAGCTGATAGACTACTGAGGAGACTGCAGAGGAGACCCTCTGCTGGGGACTGACCCCTGATGTATGCCTTACTGAGCAACTTTCAAACCATTGAACAGGCACCATCTTCTAATCTGCTATCCAGTTCTCCTTAATATATCCATGAGACTGACTCCTACATATCCTTTGGTTTTACTGCCTTCCCCATCCTGCAGGCCCTTTGCTCACACTGCTACAGTATGTAACGTTCAGTATCCAGGCTACATATGTTCTATGCAAGCATTTAAATATGATGAAAACAGGATAAATCACAAGTGGAAAACAGATAATGAAGTGTCCAACTAGTGCAGACAATGTTATAATCATCCCATAATTCTTTAAGAGATAAATCTAGTCTGAATAGACTTGCAGTTGTGAGAAAAAGAGCAAACACATATGTTTTTCAGAATGTTGATTTCTTTAGATAGATATTAAATCATTTGGATTCTGGATCTTGGACTATAAGTTCAAAATTCCAGCTGTGTCAAGAAATGATGTTTGAAATAATATAAACCAGAAGTGACAATATCCAGGATGAAAAGTGGTTGTGAGAAATGTTTTAGTTTGATTTATTTTCGAGTTGTTCCCAAAGTAAAACGTCCCTGCTTCTCCTTGTTCAGATGAAATAATTCTAATGTGAAATGTTGTCACATCTAAGGCATGGTGCTCAGTGTCTCTGTTTCTTTGCATCCATAAGAGGTACTGACAGTTCACATGGCCACTCATCAGATATGTGACAGAGTTTGTTGTGGGGATTTTCACAAGTTCACCTTGTTATATAAGCAAATGTGTGTCACACAGGAGGAAAATAGATCTGTATCCATTGGGACACAAACACCGTACTCTGGATAAAAGTGAATGTCACCAAAATCCTGTATTATAGGCACAAGCAGAAATGTAAAAGGTGGGTTGTGGGAATAAATATCACATACCTTCCTCTGACATGTATTTAGTCTCAAGGGAAGCAGCTGTTATTCATTAGTCTCCCTACACCAATACAAAAAAGAAAAGTCAAACGACTAAAGAAGCAAAAATTTGCCAATTGCACATTTTTGTTTGTAATTTTATTGGTTAAACAACTTTTTCCAATAATCATATAAGCTTAAATTCTGTACCTGTTCTATTCCTTTTATAGCATCAAATTTTCATTAATATGAATCATTATTATCTCTTTAAACATCAAACTGTCTGACATGTGAGACACAAGACCCTATGGTAGGCTACCGAGGTCATGCAGTGGCGCCATGGAAATCTAAAGTCACAGCACATGTTGGGCTGGATGCAGAATTTGATCACGTCCGTATTTAAGTTTTGATTTGTTCCAGAAGTAAATTAATCACCCGTCTTCTTCTTAACCTCAAGGACAGAGTCACTGGATGTGTTCTTTGTTATGTGTTTCATGTTTTTTTATTTATGGCCACAGAGTAGAAACATTGCCAAATGCCTCAAATGGACATTATATTGTGCCACTAACATTTAGCATTTCACAGTGTACACAATTTCCCTAATTTTCATTTAATTTGCTAATTACAAGATGGAGACAGTACCTGACCTCCTGACAGCAGCAGAGGGGAGCCAGCCTCAGAAGCGACAGGAGTAGATCATAGACTTCGGTGTCTTTTGTGACAGACAATCCACGTGTTGCACAGATGCACACGCAGCTTATTTCATAAAGGTCTGCTTCAAAAATCAATGTGAACAGTCTGACAAAACTAATGATTTCCAGTTCTTGGTGTGGTGAACATCGCTAACAAGTGCATTTTAAAATGTTTGTAAGCTCTTGATCATACAGTAATGTATGTAACTTTGACTGAGTGCACAGTGAGAAACACTCTACACCTATTTCCACTCATCCATCCATCCATTATCTATACTGCTCATTCTGAAGAGGGTCACAGGGGGAACTGGAGCCAATCCCAGCTGACACTGGGCGAGATCCGGGGTCCATCCTGGACACGTCGCCAATGCATCACAGGGCTGACACGCAGAGACAGACAACCACACACATCACACTCACTTCTATGGGCAATTTAGTCTCCATCACTGCCATCATGATACAAATTGTTTCTCCAGCCAAAAACAACGGCACTGACAGATGATGGTTAAAAACCAGTTACACACCTGCAAACCAAAGTCTTTAAGGCTGGGTATCCTTCAAAACTCACTTCTCTAGGAAAGCTTTTGTTCAAGTAATGAAATTGTGCATCAAAGCTGTCTTAAGAACAACCACAACCTAACTATATAACACATTAATATAACAAAATTATTACTTAAGGCAGACAAATAGTAAACATGACTATATATCACTGACTGTTAAGTGCTGGCTAATTGTTTGTGAGCACATATGTGTACAGAAAAATTAGAGGCTTCATTCCCAGTCCAAGTGTGTGCAAGTGCATTTTGTCTTAAAGCATCATATCATGTTCCTGGAAGAAAATCTCATTTTTATTATACCTTCATGTGCACAACTTAAACTGTACCATGTTATAATAAGATGAAAGATAATGAAGAAGCTGCTCATGTACAGTATGTTCAGCTTGATTAATGTTAGGCTGGACTGACTAACACGTACGCAGGTGTCTCAACATATGACTTTGCTTATGACAGTCCTCAATGTTTGGAATAACCACAAAGAACTTTCCTTCTTAGTTTTTTATTCATATAAGAATTTCATGGTTTAACTGTGTATAAAGCGGGTACTGAAAATGTACAGTATGTGAAGCTGTGAAGGCCTCAGCCCTGGCCGTCACGATGGAAGGACCTAAGCTGCCACCAGCAGTGGAATTAGTTAGGTCATGTTCTTTGTTCACATGTGTAGATTTAAGTTGTAGGTAGATTTTAGGCATTTGATTTGACATTAGGTTTAGACATACACAATCAATGAAGCATGCACATTTGGTTCATTTGTATTGTTAATGTTTGCAAATTTTCTTTTTGAGTTACAGAGTTCCTGGTCTGTGGACAGGGGTGGCCCAGACAAAAAGACTGGACCAACTGGACTGGACTGAACTGCATACCTCACACTAGGCTTTGACTGCCCAATACAGGAAATATGCAAAAACAACATTTTTAGCCTACAGCCAGATCAACTGATGGATAGATAGAAACACATTTCATACACACAAGACATTGGCATGAGTCAGCTTAATAGAAGAAATAGTGTAAAGTGAGTTTTCTCATTTTTGTTTACAGTTCCTTTTCCTCAACAAAAAAAAAACAACTCTCTTTCTTGTGGAGATGTTTTAATCATACAGGTTGAAGTGTTGGAGACAGATGGCAGAAGCTTCTGGAGTTACCTATACATCATGCGGCTTGGACAAGTGCATGCCACACGTCATGGTCAGCACAAACCGGCTATGTAAGCCATCCTCAGTTGTGAGAGGATAAGGAAAACATCATCCACACCATCATTTCAAATGTTCTGTTCCTGTGGCTCAGTTACCTGTCCATGCAGAAGCTGCTGCAGCCAGAGTCAGCCTGCAGGGTACACACACAGCGATGGGTCTCCAGCCCCCTCCTCCTCCGCTCAGTCCCAGCGGAGCGCCTCAGACGCAGGGAACCCTGATAACTTGACAGACCATATGGTGCAGTGTGCCTGAAACACATACATACATACTGTACATATACAGTGCACTGAGTGGCCACACAGACAGAACCCCTTTATATTAAACTGGCTTCCCAGTTTTCTAGGCACAGCTGTACAGTCTAATGCAATAATACTATATATGCTCTCCCTCTAAGAGTCTTATTGCACTCATGTTTTAACACTGTGCCAGGGAATTTAAAGATACTGTATTTTAAAAAGGCTTTTGTGGCAGTGGTACAGTGGACTGCATTATACTGAGAGGTGGTTCTAATATTTTGTGTTCCACTATTTGGAGACACAACATAGGAAACACCTTTTAGTATAATGCAGCCTAATAAAACATCATCACAAACTGCAGCCTCATTAAAAAACACCAGTTTGATTTGTTACAGCACTGTTGCTGAATTTGATAGATTTCAAAGGTGTATCCACTAAACTAGAAATTCTGTTTATTTTATATTCATTATATTTCTGGATTTTAAGTAATTAAGTCATAATTCACTTTCACACAAGATTACTGTGGCAAATAACATGAAAATATTCAAACCCAGAATTCATCATAGTTGATGCCAGTAAACTTTGATGCGTCAATGAAGGTCAGGTTTTATCTTTTACATATTTAGGTTGACAATTCTAAACAACAGACATTAAACCAGGAACAGGGAAGGTTCTTTTTGTTTGTATATATGTTCCAAGAAAAAGTAATGCCACTGTTTGCAGTGTCCTGGTTTTCTGCATAAATTGGGTCATGAAATGAGATCTGATCTTCATCAAAGTCACAAATATCAACAAATACAATATTCCCCAGCTGATAAAACACAAACAGTACTGATCTTTCATGTCTTTGCACCCATTAAACATACAAAGTGATGATGGAAAAAGTAATAGCTCCTACAGTGGTTTAATCACTGGCTGAACCACCTTTGGCAGCAATAACCCCAAGCAGGCGCTTCCTGTAGCTGTGGATTAGACCTGCACAATATTCGGGAGGAAATTTGGACCAGTCTTCTTTACAAAACTGCTTCAGCTCAGCCATGTTCTTAGGACATCTGGTGTGAACGGGTCTCTGAGGTTATTCTATAGCATCTCTATTGGGGTGAGGTCTGAGCTCTGACTGGACCATTCTGCAGTAGACTTACTTCGATGTTTAGGGTCATTGTCCTGTTGCATCATCCAACATGTTCTGAGCTTTAGCTTGCCAACCACCACCTTGACATCATCTTGAATCCATTTCCCCCTCCACAATGTCAAGTGGTCCAAGTCCAGAGGCAGCAAATCAGCCCCACATCATGATGCTCCCTGCACCGAACTTCACTGCTGGGATGATGTTTTCATGTCGGTATGTTCTCTTTTTACACCATACATAGTGCTGTATGCTCTTCCCAAACAACTCTTCATTTCATCTGACCATAGGACATTTTCCCAGTAGTGTTGTGGAGAGTCAAGATGTCAAGACTCATAAACAGAGATGCTAACCACCTCCAATGAATCCTTCAAGCCTTTAGCTGTTACTCTAAGCTTCTTTTTTTACCTCACTGAGCATTCTGTGTTGTGCCTTTGCTGTGATCTTGGCAGGGCGCCCACTTCTACGGAAAGTAGCCACAGTATGAAGTCATCTCCATTTATAGACAGTATGTCTAACTGTGGACTGATGACTATTTAAAGTCTTTGAGTTGACTCTGTAACCCTTTCCAGCTACATACAGATCAACAACTCCTGATCGTAGGCCTTCTGAGATCTCCTTTTTGTGAGGCATGCTCACATCAGATGCTGCTGCTTGTGAATAGCACAGTGACACCGTTTGAGTGTCTTTATAAGTCAAGGTGGTTCTAAACCACATCTCCATTCTCGTTTCATTGATTGGACTCCAGGTTTACTAACACCCGACATTTAGTGACATCAGAAGCCAAGTGTTGCCGGGACTTTTTCCACCATCACTTTGCACATTTAATGGGTGTGTTCAATAAAGACATGTAGGATCAGGACTGTTTGTGTTTTACCATCTTAGAAATATTATGCTTGTTGATATCTGTGACTGTGGTGAAGATCAGATCACATTTCATGAATAATTTATGTAGAAAACCAGACAATTGCAAACAGTGCTATTACTTTTTCTTGTGACTGCATTACTGTATAGTCATGGCCAAAAATACTGGCGCCCTCACATTTCTGTCAGAAAATTGTTGCAGTCACAAATTCTTTGCTATTCTCATGTTTATTTCTTTTGTTTGCACTAGAACAACACAAAAAGCAGAAAAAAGCCTAATCTGACCCATTCCACACAGAACTCCAAAAATGGACTGGACAGAATTATTGACACCCTCAATATTACCCTTAATATTTGGTAGCACACCCTTTGGCCAAAATAACAGAAATTAATGGCTTCCTGTAACCATCAGTGAGTTTCTTCCACCTTTCTACTGGAACTTTGGACCACTCTTCTTCTGCCAACTGCTCCAGGGCTCTGCTTTGAAGGGTTCCTTCTCCCAGCTGGTGTTTGAGATCCCTCCACAGGGGCTCTATGGGATTTACAGTGGATACGGAAAGTATTCAGACCCCCTTAAATTTTTCACTCTTTGTTATATTGCTGCCATATGCTAAAATCATTTAAGTTCATTTTTT